GAAATTGTCATATTTTTTAATTTTTGTGAAATTGGCCAAATTGCAAATTTCTGACCATGTTATTTGATAGTTGAAATCGGTAAATGGGCAGTTTCTTGTACTCAGTCAATAGAAAAAAATGGAGTTCTAAAGAAATAGCTATGAGTTTGGTCGGCTGGAACAATGGAATTAGCTGAAAATAGGGCTCAAAGTGGGCGAAATCACCAATTCGTAAATATCGCTGAGGTCGCTAACTTCATGAGAGTGTAATTCCGTCAGTTTTCCATCAAATTTTGTTCTTTTGGTGTCTGTACCATCGGGAAAAGATTCTCTATCATTTCAAAAGATTTTTTTTTTTTTTTAATTTTTGCAATACCAGGAGACACCTCAGGATTTGGGGCTGCGACAATCAAGGGGTTAATATTTAACACTAATAGAAGTTAACAATGATTTAACACTAATGCAACAAATAATTATGCAGATGAGAGTTTTTTTTCCACAAATTTTCACAGGCTAAGAGCTCTTATCTTAACCCCTTGAGGGTCCAAGGCCCAAATCTGAAGTGGTGCCCCAGTGTCCAAGAATTTTCAAAAAAAAAGTTTGTTATTTTTTCTTATGAAATGGTAGAGAATCTTTTTGTGAAGGTAATAAAACAAAAAGTATGAAATTTGATGGAAAATTGACGAAATTATGCTCTCGTGAATTTTGATGTGTCAATGATATTTACGAATCGGCGATTTTGCCGACTTTGACTCCCATTTTAGGCCAGTTACATTATTCCAGTCAACCAAATTCTTAGCTATTTCACTAGTATTACTTCTATTCTATCGATTGAGCACAAGAAATCAGCAAGTCAACTGTTTCAACTACAAATTAAAGTGATCGGAAATTGTTAATTTGGCCAATTTAACACAAAGTTCAAAATATTCCAATTTCAAAATAGGGTCCAGAATAAACAATGTAGGTATTCCTGGAACTAAACTAACATTTCCTCTGTTCATTAGTTACGTTTTGAGGCTTTACAAATAAATTCCATTTTGATTTTTTATTCACATAATGAATTTTTATTCACACCAAAAAATAGAAGATTTACTGTTATGCAATACTGTAATAATTGTATAAATATCATCACCATATTTGTGAATGCATATTAGACCCACCACCTGGCGTGTATTAAACGTGTGAGGTCGTTTGTTTACTCTTGAATATTGGCAAAAATTTAACATTTCTGCTACTTTGAGCTCAGTTTAAAGCCATTTCCAGTGCTAAAACCAATCAAAATCATCTCTATTTCTGTAATATGTCTTCCATTCTATCAATTGAGACCAAGAAATCGCAAATACAACTATAAAAAACATACGAAAAAACACTGCAAAGTCGCTGTTTTAATCGAAAAATCATGATTACAGTTTTTTTCTCTCATTATACACAGTGTGCTGCAGGATCTGTTTTATGTGGTGCACACATACCACATAGATGTATTCTCTCATATCTAGGCCCAAATGTACCACTCACAGTTTATCAGAGTGAGCTGAGCTCATGACGTAGATCTACGGTTTGGACCCTGAACGTAAAGCCGTAGATCTACAGGACGGACCCTGAAAGGGTTAACTAATCTCCATCTCAAAGCCCAACCGTATCTAAGGTACACTGCTACCCCCTGGATGCAACCTACAGTAGTCACCAATCACCTAGGTACCTACTTAACCCTTTGAGGGTCGACAGGCCCTCTCCGAAACTCGTTCTCAGGGTCGGCCAAATTTAAAAAAAAAAAAAAATTATTTTCTCTTATGAAAAGATAGAGAATCTTTTCCCGATCATAACGACACCAAAAGTTTGAAATTTGATAGAAAACTTACGGAATTATGCTCTCGCAAAGTTAGCGGTCTCGGCGATGTTTACGGATCGGCGATTTTGCCCACTTTGAGCCCCATTTTCGGCCAATTTCACTGTACTAGTCGACAAAAAACATGAATATTTCGCTATAACTCCATTTTTTCTATCGAATGGGTGCAAAAAACCACCCATTTATAAATTCAACTATCCAGTACAGTGGTCAGAATTTAGCAATTTTGCCAATTTCACACAAATTTCAAAAGATGCCAATTTCGGAATAGGGTCCAGAATAAACAAGAAAGACATTCCTGGCACTAAAATGACATTTCCTCTAGTCATTAGTCACGTCTCAAGGCCCCTCTTATATTCTTTTGCTTTCCACTTTGAATTTTTATTCTCACAAAAAATATAAGATTTACTGTTATGCAGACTACTGCATTAGTGTAAAAAATGGTATAAATATTATTGGTGCACTTGTGAAAGAATATTAGACTCACCAGTTGACGTGTATTGCACGCTTGGCACGATTTGTTTACTTTTGAAGTTTGGTAAAAATCGAACATTTCTGCTACTTTGAGCTCAATTTCAAGGCACCTTTCATTGTAAAACCAGTCAAAATCATCTCAATTTCAGTAGTATGTCTTCCATTCTATAAAATGAGACCAAGAAAACTAGAATACAACAATAAATACTATACGAAAATACACTGCAAAGTCGCTGATTTATTCAAAAAAAATGGAAAAAGTTTTTTTTTTCTCATTATGCACCGTGTGCTGCAGGATTTTTTTTAGACTGTGCACACTGACCACATAGACCCATTCTTTCATATGAAGGCCTACCAGCTTTCTCCCACTAGATTTGAGGTCGGTAGAATTTATGAGTACTAGTACGTCAAAAACCCCTACGCGTAAGACGTACTAGTACGACGAAAACCTTCAAAGGGTTAATGGTAGGTGAACAGGGGCAGCAGATGTAAGGAAACATGCTCAGTGTTTCCACCCACAACCACAACCACTCAGTATGTGAGCTGAGTGCATTGCCAACCGAGCCATGAAATACTAATAAAAAATGCACAGACTTTATGCACTATACGTATATTACTATATTCTTGTGATTGCATAGAGCTGTAAGGATACTTATGGTTTAAGTATATAAGGAATTTAAGCTCTTTCACATGAAATAGGGAACAGTGCACACCTCTCACATTTGGATATCAGGGCTACCATATATAATTTTTTTAACTCTTTCAGGGGTCCAGACCCCCAATCTGAAACTTTCAACAGGGTCCAAGAATTAAAAAAAAAAAATCGTTATTTTTTCTTTTGAAATGGTAGAGAATATTTTTCTAAAGGTAATGAAACAAAAAGTGCAAAAATTGATAGAAAATTGGCGAAATTATGCTATCGCAAATTTTGCTGTCAGCAATATTCACACATGGTGATTTTGCCCATTTTGAGTCCTATTTTAGGCCAGTTAGTGTTTCACTCGACCAAATTTGTAGCTATTTCATTAGTATGCCTTCCAGTTTATCAATTGAGCACAAGAAACTGCCTAATCAACTATTTCAACTATGCAGTAAAGTGATCAGAAATTGGCAATTTGGCCAATTTCACACAAATTTCAAAATATGCCTATTTCAAAATAGGGTTCAGAATAAACAATGCAGGCATTCCTGGTACTAAAATAACATTTCTTCTGTAAATTAGTTATATTCCCAGGCTTTATACATGAATTCTATTTTGAATTTTTGTTCACACAAAAAGAAGATTTACTGTTATGCATTTTTGTAATAATTGTATAAATAACATCAGCACATTCATGAATGCATATTAGACTGATCAGTGGATGCATATTTGATGAGTTATGTGATTTGTTTGCTCTGGAATATCGGCAAAAATCAAATATTTTCACTACTTTGAGCTCAATTTCAAGCTATGTTCAATCCTCAAACCAATAAAAAATCGTCACTATTTGTGTAATATGTCTTCCATTCTGTCAAATGAGATAAAAAAACTGTGAATACAACCATAAAAACCATATGAAAATAAACCACAAAGTCACTGTTTTAAACCAAAAACAGGTCAGTTTTTTCATTATGCACTACATGCTGCAGCATTTTTTTTTTTTTAATGTGGTACACACTTACTATATAGACCCATTCTCTCAAATCTAGGCCCAAATTTACTGCTCGCAGCATTTCTGAGTGAGCTGAGCTCATGATGTAGAACTACTACACTGACACTGGCTTCAAAGCCGTAGAACTACGGCACCAACCCAGAAAGGGTTAATTTCATCAGTTTTGTTAATTCAGTGTCATACATTAGATCATCGGTTATACAGTGATTGGTTGTTTGGCCTCTGATGCTATCTACCATACTTAAACTTCAATAAGTAATTCAAAACAGAGGTACTGTAATATAAAGATGTGGGAGTAGAAAAATTCTCGAGGAACAGAAAAATCCTTGAAACCAATAAGATGTATATTCATTATTAAAAATTTTGGTGTATTCTTTACCCCCAAAGAGGCCAGATAATTGATGATCTTCTGTACATTCTATTTTCAAATAAAAGCAGTGGGTTTAAAATAAACTATAATGTCTTTGATTCATTAGGAAACAAAGTGCATTGTGAGCTGTTTACATTCATAAATGCAACAGAAAACTTAGAAACAGAAACTAGGAAACAAATGAAAGTTATCATTAGATTATACTTTTTATAGAATTTTTTTTAATATATACTGTTCATCAAAGTCAAGTTTAAATATACTGTACATATATTATTATTTAAATATTTCTCAGGTTATAAGTGGAATATACGTCATAAGTAAATGTGCTAATGGATAGTAAATATGTACTTTTTAGGCATCTTTCTCTACTGCTCTTCTTATTCTTTAAAGATAGATGTTTACAGTAGTGCTGTAAGGCTTACTTTATTGAATTCAGTTGAACAATTTTAGCTTTTAAAAACAGAGTTATGTGTGCTTAAGTGGTTTAATATGGTATGGATATTCATGCAGTTATTATAAATGTCACTAAAAATGCATTTTTAAAATGATCTGTTTTGTGTAATTGTTATTAACAAAGAAGTTAAGCTAATGTAAAACCACAAGAAATTCCCTTGAAGTATAAGTTCAAATAAGTATTCATTAAGCAAAATGGATAATGGTATGGTTTTGGGGTTGGTAGGCCGGAATCTCTGAGCACCACTCTCAACACAACCATAGACTCAGCAATGATTGAGTCTCAAATTGAGTCTCAGATCATCCAGACCAAGCTGGCTCCACAGTTGTCTGCCCAAATGGCCCAGGAATCAGTGCAGCACCCCCCAGTGCAGCAAATATTGGTTCATAACGACACAGATCAGGCATCCAAGGGTCAAGTCACATCGGGCCAGGTCACTTCTGTAACTGAGAAGTCTCCAGAAAGTCTCAATGGGTGGGAAGGGTATGTCCTTAGCATTGTGTGGGTCTCCAAGATACAGATTCCCTGTTTGATATAACATAAATAGCATGTGTGAGTTCTCTTATTGGTACCCTGATTAAAAATTATTCAGAATTATGAATCCATCTTTCTTTAGATATCAGTTTTTCATTATTACAGCATTTTAACCAAATTCCATGGAATTTTGAAGGAAAATAAGTCTTCCTGATAAAAAATAATAATGAATGATTAACTGCTTCAGAGCTAGCCCTATCATAAATAATATAAACTTTTTTGCTGATTTCTTAGCTATGAATTAACAAAGTAATGCACAGTCAAACCCCCAGGCTAACTGGGATTTGAGTCCTAGAGAGCCTTACTAATCCAGATTTTACAAAGTTACTAAATTCTCTCTATATAATAAGTTTTGATTTAGATTTTGATTTGCTTTATGTTTCAGAGGTCATATCTGTATTACTATAACTTCATTAATATGGTTGGTTTTAAATGTGAAGACAAATAAAATGGAAGCTATGCAAGAGAGGCCCTTCAGTAAAAACTGGTTAAATGAAGTTCATGAATTTGGAAGGATGGGAATTTTAGAGTTTGTCTACTACTTTTTAGCATTTGAAAGTAATAATAAAATACTATAATGCAGAAACTTCTTATTTAAGTATTTTATATAAATACACATATATAGCTTTAAAAAGTAGGTAATGCAGTGTGCTGATTTATAGGATTCATATGTAGTGTTTTATTTAGCTTGTATGTATTTGAATAATACACAAATGAATTTCTTGGAGGCATCACGCAGCTAGGTAAAGCACTGTCAGTTGTGTTGTTTGAGACTCTTCCTCATCCTCACCACACCCAAACTCTCATTCATGGCCCTATTTACCCTCACGTGGACTGTCATCCCAGCACGCACTAGTGTTGTGCTGGATATTTGCCAAACCCTGATGATAAATTCCTTGCCTTTGGTTTATATTCCTTACTTACTTTGGCTGTGCTTGCAAGTGGATGAAAATAATAAAGTTTTTAATGCTAGGCTTCCAGAGTATGTTCAAAGACATTATACATTATTTCATTACCTTCCTCTATGACTGATTAGCTAAAACACAAGCTGAAATTATATTCTTTTAATTCCACTTGTGAACTCATTGTGTGACAATACATAGTCTCATGAAGCATTTTGACAGAAATAGAAGGAAATTAATTTCATATTATAGTTTTGTACATAAATTTAAAAATATATATATATATAAGTACTTTAGTGCTTTGTGAAGTATGTAGCATGAAAAGAGCAATGATCCTTTCCTTCTGTAACTCTTTTGGGAGTTAATATATGTCTAGAATTAGCTTTATGAGACTTCCTAGTAGTATTAATGATGTAGTTGTGATTGCAGGAAGTATTGGAATGTGCAATTCAACACTAACTACACATTGTCTGTGTTGCTGTCTGTCCTTGTCCTTTTATAGTTAATGCAAATTTCACATTTTTTTTAATCCACACCTGAGACATGTTGAATCTGAAGAAAAACAGATTAAAGTAGCCATTAATAGAGATTCATTTTATGTCTCTAGCATCTGTGATAATTTAGCTGGAAACTTGTTTTCTATACTGTGATGATTTATTTATTCTTATTGGTTGGCCCAGCTACAAGAGTTTTCAGAGTTTGGGAAGTGGCAATCGATCATCAGTGTACTCGTTTCTCACCGACTCTGCAACTGCGGAGAATGATTGGCCATATTTTAGAAGGTAAAACAGGGCATTGGAACCACTAAACCGACTAATGTCCTGTTGCTTCGATCTGTGATAAAGCTGTTGCTGGGGATATTTTCTGTCTACCAGTACACTTTGTTGGGCCACTTGGAGTCAGAATCATTGCTCTTTCTTGTATGGGTCCTCTTTGACAACTAACAATAAGTGTCTCAAAACTACTCTGTCTATTCTTGTGTACATTTTCATAAGCTTCGCTTAGGAGTATTTCTGAGTAAAGTTAGTCATGTGACAAAAATACTTGAAACATTCTTTATTCCCTACAACATTCAATAATTAAGAATTGGTATCAGTCTCAAACATTATATGAAATATTAATTATGAAGTGGATAAAGATGGGCACTTGCAAAGTGGGGCTCTGAGATCACCCATGAAAAAGCCATTGCCAGGTGCCAGAAATAGAATCTGTGAGACACGTAGAGAAAGTCCACGGCTGGCTCAGTCTTGGCTGGGTATTGTGACGAGCTCCACTACTCCTCTCCACTCTCCTTTCACATCATAATGGCTGTTAAACAACGGTAGTTATTATTATACGGTAGCACTGCAACTGTAGGTGCTTTTGAGTGTTGCCTGATTGTGTGTTGTGATGTGCCTCTTTTAAGTAAGATGTTGTACGTGAAAATAGAAATTTGCTTATATGTATTTTGTACTTTACCCTTATCCTGCCTATTTTGCTGTTCATTACCATTCATAAATCATATATATTTTTTCATTTTTTAATCATTCTTGCAATATAAAATATTTTTTGTGCTTATTTATCAAAGCATTTTAATCCTTTTTTTATATTTAGCATTTGTGATATTTCACATTATAATTTTGGCTTTGTTTGGCATTAAACTTTGTAAAGCTTTGTGTGTGCACTGGAACTAAAGAAGAAATATCTTAGGAAGCTTGACAGTGTTGGGATGCACACGTGTAAACCAGAACTTAAAAATGTGATATACAGTAGTCCCTGGTGGAGTGTGGGTCTCTTGCCTGATTGCTGTGCTGGTGTGGTATTCTGCTGTGTTAACTGTGAGCCTATTTGCCCTGGCCTTGGGGGTTGCAGAGTGAGCCTGAACAGCCTGGCGTCCTGTCTGTCATCTGGGACCAACACCTCGGGCATGTGGCGCGACAGGTTGGCACGCTCATGTCATGCATCCTAGTCTCCATCATGATTTCATAGCAGATATGTTCAGCTTGAAGTTTATTGCAAGTTTATGCTATTTTTAGTCATATATTGTTTATTGGTTTTCAACACATTGTATTTAATAATTTGATTTGCTGAAATTCACTGTGTAATAAGAATTAATTAAGGATCCTTGCAATAAATTTTTAGTTGGTTCATTGTAAATCATTAAAAAAAGGGTATCTAGTTTTCAGTGCATCTCCTTAATTGCATCCCCCCCTCATCCCCCCCCTCCTCTGCCCCATCTCTCTCTCTTTCTTGTTCTCTCTTGTTCTTGCTCTCTCTGCTCACTCCTGACAACAATGCATATGACAGGGGGTCTGGCAGTGTTCCAACAGTGTTGGAAGTGGTTAAGCAACCCTGTTACATGAGCTTTACAATTTCCTGTAGACAAGATGTAATGCTATAGCTAGTTTTGTATCTCTTTAATCACTCGCATAACTTTATAGTAGTACCTTGTTGTAGTGAGAACTTGCGAAAGTGTCTCAAGCAAAACATTGAATAACTAAGGTTTGATTTGCAAAGTGTCTTTATTTTACCAAGGTAGAGTTACATTAATATATGTTAAAAGTTTTAACATTCACAAATTAGCAGCCTTGGTTTTGAATTTCATGTATGGTTTGTGTAAATAGATAGACTACACAAGTACCTTTTCATAAAAAAAATTATAATCATATGAAGTGTTAAGAAACACTGTCACTCTAAAAGCATTCATTGTGATGAATACTGTTTACAAACATATATGAGAGAGTGATTACGTGTTTGTGATTACCTGTTTCAAATTTATGGAGAGAAGCAGTGCTTGTGGTGTCCCATGACTTCTAATTAATTTATTATCAGTACTGTATTTTATAATTTTTTAAGAAACACTTCTTATTGGATTTCCTGCAATACTTTTTTCATAACTTGAAATAATGGTCTTGTCATCTCACTGGTAGTTCTAAAAAATGTCTTCCTTATATTTTTTATGTCCACTTAGGGACTTTCATGCTATATTGCTTCTTTCTCCAGTCTTCCAGGGTTCTTAAATCTGGAATCTATTGCATTTCATGTCTTTGAACTTTTTTTTTTTACTCCATTCTGCATCAAGGTCTTCAAGTTTAGATGAAACATATGCCGTGACTTGTTTGTAAATAGTTCAAGCTATCCTGAGGTTCACCAGCATTACTCATGCTTCACTTACTACCATGCTTTAGGCACTGTCTAATGCGCAATAAAGTATCTAATTTATTTTTTTTATTTATAACTGCTCTAACCCATTCATGAGGAACCTATTTATGTCAAATAGGACATTGCATTTTTTTTTTCTCCTGTTTGAGTCTTCAGAGGGTATATGAGCTCTAGCTCATAGTTCTTCATTTTAACTTCTGTAATGTTTGATTTTTTAATCTTCTGTGTGGTGGCTTCATCCATTGCCATTGTTCACTTCATATCACTTATTTTTACCACTTTTATTCTGAAGAAATGTTTTCTGATATTCTTGTGGCTCATTTGGGTGTATAATTTCCAATTATGCCCATTGTTCTTTTTTTTCACCTCTATAAATGCTCTGATTTTTTTTTTTTTAGTTATCATATTTCCTGTTCTTCATTCTCCCTATCAGTAAAAGCCGAATGTATTATTCTTAACTGCTTATTCTACTGTTCTTTTACTATTTGGAATGCAGTCCTTTAGACCTTCTCAAATGTGTATTTCTGTTTTACTGTACAGCAGTCCTACACCAAGGACAAGTACTCAAGATTAAGTTGTACATCTGAAGGTAAAAAGTGTTCAGAAAGAGTTTTTGCCTGTGTTCCTGAAGGCCAGGAAACCATTTTTGCCATCTAGGTTCCTGAAGGCCAGTAAGGAATTTTTTCCGATGGTTCCTGAAGGCCAGGAAAGAGTTTTTGCCTAGGTTCCTGAAGGCCAGGAAGGAGTTTTTGCCTAGGTTCCTAAAGGCCGGAAAAGAGGTTTATGCTTAGGTTCCTGAAGGTCACTCTTACATTTATGAGCTTTTCCTATGCTGTTATTCTGTTTGTATATTTCAAAGGACAGATCTGGGCTAATGGTTATTCTTAATTCTTGGCCACTCTAAAT